TTCATCGCCCCCCCCAGTGATAACTCATGTACTATTATATCTTAACCATGCTCTACCTTCTTATAGAAAGATATGCATGGATAAATTACTGCAAATTAAAAAATAAAACTAACTCTCTCTCTCTCTCTCTCTCTCTCTCTCTCTCTCTCTCTCTCCTCTCTCTCTCACACACACACACACATAAAAGAATCATCATTTTATTAATATACTAACGTATAAAGTTCTTTTATGATTTAAAAAAAATAACAGCTAATAGAAAATATAAAAATATAGAATCTTTTTCATGACATGACACATATGAAAAAATTTAATGTTCTATGATACAGTGAATCATATTATACTGTATACTGCCCAGGCCCTATCAGAGTTATTTTTTAAGATGCTTTGATGTGCGTGCCAGAATGCACCTGACCAGACACAAATGATGCCCAGGTTCCTGCCTTAGATAACTGTTATTTAATTTAAATAAAGATGAAATTGAAAGTTTTTGTTGAAACAAGCTCTGAATGTTTATAAATTTAAAAATGAGTGAACTCATCAGCCTTGCTAATACAAATAGACATAGGTGATAATATGTGTCAACCTGTGTGTGCTTTATAGAACATGGATATTGACACCTGGAGAACAAGCTATCCTTTTTTGTTTTCTTTCATTCACAACAATATATAGTTAATTCTAATTATTAATATAATCTTATTCTCTCTTGATTGCAATCGTAAAGGTAAAAATGGCATTGACTGCCACTAAACAAGTTATTTTTTTGAATAATTTATACTAGAAATTTTATTAATTTCAATCCAACTGAATGCAGAACAGTAGACTAATAAGACCTTTAGATATAAATAATTAAGATATAATTAAGATATAAATAATTAAAGATATAAATAATTAAATAACAACAACTACCCAATCAGTTTGACATCATAAGGACACCTATTTCTGCATTTCAGACGTAGGTAGAGAAGGGATTCAGTTAGGGAACAGAATTTATGTAAAAAGGAAATGATGATGTGGTCAAAGGAATAAAATGAAATTAAACTGCCATGTGGAAGATTTAAGTTACATATTACTGTGTAATATTACTTTACTTCAATGCTTTAAGGAAACGAGAATCAGAAAACTGGTCTTTTGAATTAATTTGTTTAAGCTTTCTTTCTCCATTCTTTCATCATTGATCTCTTATTAGAGATATGTTTCTGTTATTATAAACACACCCTAACAACAATTCTTTTCTAACTTGCAATGAATTTGCTACATAGGAATTCAAGCCTCTGAAATTAACCCTCTCTGTAATACTTATGATTGTTTAATAAAAATTTATATAAAAAATAGTCATTTAGATTTCCTGGAAAATGTTTGATTTCAAGGGCCATTTTCAACATTGGTAAAGACTATATACTAGACAGGGAATATCTTACTTTTTTTTTAATAAGATTTTATTGGGGAGCTGGGGGAGGAACAGCATTGGGGAATCCGGGAAGGGGAACAGAAAGATAGACAAATTGCTGTTTTGCTCTTCAGTCTAGTTGTGAAGGGTGTCGCTTCACTGGCCCATGTTGGTATGATCATTGTGCTCTTCCCCGGTAAGGCAATCGGTCGCCAGTCATTGGTCAGCCGCTCTCGGGGGCTCACGGCAGCTCTCGCCCGCTGCTGGCTGCTCACTCTGGCTGCCAGCCACTCATGTAGCTCACGGCAGCCCACTGCAGCCCCTCTGCAGCCCACGCTGTCGCCAGTGACTCACAGCAGCCCAGTTCCAGGTTGAACTATTGTTCACCATCTTAGCTGTAGAGGGCAGTGTCACTGGCCCTCATATGGGATCCGAACCAGGGCCCTGCTGCTCAGAGCTGGCGTGCCAAGCCAACTCTTACCCAACGTGCCACTCAGCTGGCCCGGGAATACCTTACTTTTAATTGGTGTGTGTGTGTGTGTGTGTGTGTGTGTGTGTGTGTGTGTGTGTGTGTGTATTTTAGGGGAGAAACCACATAATGAGCATTTTACTGGTCCACCTAAGGCTGCACTCTAACTACAACTGGGCCACTGAAAGAAGCTCATAATTATATACCTAGTCAAAAAGGGAATTTAAATCAGAAAGGTGTAGGCTACCAGAATTACCAGTAAAGAAAACAAGCAGTGAAGCATTCTGATGAATCTAAATAAGTATTAATTACAAAAACAAAATAAATAAGGTGTATCTAAAATAAATAATTGTTTTAAATGTCATATTATTCAAGAGCAGATTACAGAATTTTTGTTTGTCTTCGAGTTTATTAATAATGCATGTATTTTTGAAGTAACCTATGAATGGATGTAGAAGGTGTAACTTGCAAATCAGTAAAGAAAAGATGTATGCTAGAATGAAATGCAATCATATCAATAGATTGCCAGAAAGATTAGTTAAAGCAAAGAAAATCAAGGTATGTTAAAACACACACAAATAAAAGAATGGCACACAAATTCAAAATATATCCATAAGCACGATAAAAGTAAAAGAATTGAACACACTAGTAGATGAAGAAAAGACAGTTGTACAATCCAGTGGATAATACGATATTCTTCATATAAAACTTTTCAGTGCAATAAAAATGCTACATTTTGTACAAATGGGAAAGATATACACTAAATTAAAAACAGCAGTTATTTTTAAGAAGGGAAGAAAGAAACTGTTTATAGTGTACTCTTTCATTTTATTGAATAGTAAGTTAATTTTGCTAATTCTGGGTGGTACATACATGGATATTTATTCTAGTTTGTCTATGCTTTGTGTTTGAAATTTTTCATAGTTGAAAAAGTTGACTGTGTAAGTTAGAATATATGCCAACCTAATGTAGCTCAGACACCCATCTATGTTCCTAGATATTCCAAGGATCATAGTTCCTTTATTTTGGTTGTTCTGTCACCCCCTTAGTGCATAGTATGTGTCTACCTCTTCAATGATGGCCTGTCACCAGCAGGAAGGAGTAAAAAACATATTAGAGAGTAAGAAGCTATCTTTTGAAGACATGACACTTCATTTCACACATCATTTCTATTTATAAGCAATCAGCTAGAACTTGGTCATGTGATCATATCTATATGGAGAGAGATGGGTGAACGTGTCTCCTGGCTAATACTTTGGGGCTCTATTACTAAGAGGAAATAGAGAAGCATGAAGATTGCCAGATCGTAAGCACACTTTTCTATAGAGCCAGTAATAACACGGTGTTTCTAAAAGTGTGGGTAATGGATCATTGATTGTTCAGAATTTTTTTTCCCCTCTGGGGAGTATAGTTTTATGCTGCTAGGTCAGTATATTTTAGCAACACAAGAGCTTGACAGGAGAACTTTATCTTATGTAAATTTTACCTGCAAAATACAGAGAGGGAGAGAGAGAGAGAGAGAGAGAGAGAGAGAGAGAGAGAGAGAGAGAGAGAGAGAGAGAGAGACAGAGACAGAGAGAGACAGAGAGAGAGAGAGAGAATTAAGACAGGAATTTTATTCCTGAGCACTAAACTACCCAAGGAGGAGGAGGACTAAAACAAGTGGGTGGAATTCTTCTCCTAAGCAAATGTCCTTAGTTTAAATAAAAGCAGTGCTCCTTAGCATGAACGTGCATCTGGAGGAACGGACAGAGAAAAACCTCCCAGTATCCTTGGGAGGAATGATATGGATGGTGTCAAGATCAGATTACCTTAGTTCATGGTTAAACTGAGAAACCTCCCTTCAAAAGTATCTCAACTGAACAGGGTGTTCCAGCTTGTTACATTGTTGCCATTATTTAGAAATCCTGTGTCTTGATCTTCTGGGCCTGTGGTGGTGATAGCATTTAAATGCGGGGGTGGGGGTGGGAGTTGGAATTCTTATATTTTGCTCCTCTAATATCCATTACTTCCAAGGAATCAGATGCAATTTTAAATTATTTTGTGGTCCTCGCATCCATAACGTGGTAGTAAGATATGACGATCTCCTGAAAGTTTTGAATATCATACCAAATATTTGTTAATACGGTTTGAAAATGCAATTATTTATAGCTGTGTTCTGCCTTCAAGAGAAACATCAAAAGCAGAAAATCCACAGAAGACACTGGAGAGCACTGAAGTCTTTCAAAGCAGCCAAGTTCTGCAATTTCTTGTTAAAGTTTTGTGAGGTGAAGTTGGCCTCGCACACATATTTTCCAGAGATGGGGAGCTGGCAGATATGATGTACACTGGCATTTTACTAATGAAAAAATAAACGGGTTCAAGTGCCTGGAAAGTACGCAGTGTGTTTGTGTATTATTATCTGTTAATGATCCAAGTGGTATAATTGGAAGCTATGAATAACTTTCACAACTTAAGGAGTAAATGATTTTCTTAATTTACACCTATTATATCATAGTAGCTGTTGAGTTGAGAGAGCTTTCTTCTACTTTAAAATGTAAGCATTAAAACAATATGGAATTTAATGAATAAAGTAGAAACTCAATGGATGTTTAAGATTGTAAACCTTTACGTAACCTTAAGATTGTAACCTTTACGTAATAATGACACAAAATTTCTTTCGAAGTATCCTGTGAGAGGAAAAAAGAAAGAAAAAATTTTTTTTATTGTTTTTATTCACCGTGTTTCTTTAGGTGCAAGTTGAAGCTTCTATGCAGTTATTCAACATTTTGGAGTCATTTACAGTCTTCTGAATACAATTATGCAAAACTGTTATAACAGCTTTGGAAGATATATACATGAGAATGCAGAAAGAACAACTAAAACAAAAAGACATATTGTAAGTTGGAAAACTGAGGACAAATTCAGGCATATTTTATAATGTCCTGAAAATGCTAAGACACGTTTCTATTTGCTAACAGCAGCAGGACACATGTAACATGTTTCTTTAATTTCAGGCAATTTTAATGCCGTATATATGATATATATGTATGATATATCATATTATACCATATACATATCATATATAATGCCATTTGCAAGGATATATATATATATATATACACACACACACACATATATATATACATATATATGTATAACATATTGATATTTTGGTATTTTGATTTCCATTCATTTTCAGAATTAGCTATGACTAAATATATAAACATTATTTTGTTTTTGAAAGCATGGATAATAAAGCCCTCCTTTATCCAATGGCTTGGTACTGGCTCTATGAAACATGCAAATTATCATTACATAACATGCGTGTGAGGTTAAATAAATTACAGGACAATAAGGCTTAGTTAACCATGATTCCACTTTCTGAAAAAACATAAATCTCCATGGAAGGTGAATGGCTTAACATTACTCTACAACCATTTTTCAATTAGTGTACATTCACTAAGTGTGTACTGCACTCCAGTCTTTCCGACAACGAGGGAGAAAATGTGATCATGGACTTAACTGGCCAGTACTACAAATCCACAGGATTGAAAATGTACTGTAACCAAGAACGTTACAAAGCCGGGATGCTTAGGAAATCCAGTGGGTTCAATGACTCTTCAAGAATTTCCGAAGAGTTTATCACCTAAGCTCATTACACTGATACGTAAAACGCCAGGAAACTCCTTGGCCCCTTTTTCTGAAGCCCGTTCAGATGTCTGGAAGAGAATGGTCTAGAAATTATCACAGTTGGAAAGTTTCAAGTTTCTTTGTGTCCAAGTTAAGCAGAGCTGGGAGGATTTACTAAACTTATTTCCATTTCAAAATTACTATTCTCAGAATGCAAACATTCAGGATATATTGATTACTTCTATGAGATGAAATGTAGAGCAAGATAAAACATATGGAAAAGTTACAATCAAACTCTGGCTATAGGCAATAAAAAAAATTAAGGAGTCTCATTATAGGGAGTTAAATTATTCAAGATTAAAGCTCCAATGGAGCAAAACAAGTTTCCTTTTATGATATGAACACATAAGAATGTTCTAATATAATTTTATTAATTTACCATGTTTCTGCCCTTCACCTCTACTTAATACTTACTGGGTAAGTTTATGTGGAAAAGAAAAAAATAGAGAGAGAAACATAAACCTGCCACAGCATACCCTGGCATAGTTACTATTTCCATGAGTTGTGATTTCCCAGATATATAAATTCAAATCCAGTTTTCAAACTAATTTAATGGTGATGGCCTGGTTGTATTTCTGTAGCTGTTTAGTAAATATGTTGTATTTCTTATGTTTAAGTCTCATTTAAAATGAAACCCAACCTCTTAAATCTTTAACTTTTTTTAGTAATAAGCACACACAAAACCCTTCATGAAGCCAAAAATAATTTGCAATGTTATTTCTGAGAAGTTATAGAAATATTAGTTTTGATGACAGGCTTTAAGCTCTAATTTACCAAGTGGTTTCAATGCCCATGCAAAGATATATGACTTCCAAACTTTGCATTTGGGATTCTAAGATTAATTTCTTTCCCTTAGAATGCGGGGCTGTCACTGCTGCTGTAATATTAATGTAATAACAAAGGAAGAAGGTCAGTGAATATTGCAAGAACCAAACCAGCTCAATTTAGGTTGCAGAAAATGCTATCTACCTTTGGCTTCATCATGACAAACATTTTATTCAAGATCGAATTTTCAAAATTCTAATTAGTTAAATAAAAGAAGAAATTGATTCTTACTGACTTCATGGAGAATATAAACATAAAACATATTCAAAAGATACCACTAGATTCAGGTAATTCATTCAACTAGTTTCTTCTTCTTCTTCTTCTTCTTCTGATGATGATTACTAAATTCATGAATATATATATATATATATATATGAAAATTAAAGCTTTTATACAAGAATATTTTGTCCTTTAAAATTTTACCCCTAGGGTAAAATGTAAGTAATAGAAAATTTTCTGTATATTTGTGTGTATTTTTGGTGTTAGGGCAACAATACACTATGTAATTCTAAAAGAATTTGGTGTCTGAATAAATGGTGTTCACACTGAGAAATCTACATTTCCAGAGAATATTTTATTTGAAAATGAAATGGCAAACATGATAAACACAATCATAAGAGCAATTCTAAGAGATGAGGTAGTCACTTTTAGCCAGGGAAGGTAATTACCTAAAGGTTGGCAGTAACTTGGTGTGATCAGCGTGTTCTAAGATGATGTAACAGCCTGTGAATGACTTTTTGAGGGATTCTACAAAATTATATTACATTGCTTTATCTTCTCTTGAATTTCTCTTTCTCTGTCTTCTTTATGGATGACTCTTCATATAAGCATCATTTGGATGTTTTCATTCTTTTCAAAGCCCAATTCACATTTCAGGTCTTTTACCTGGTGTTCAGACACATCTAGTCAGCTCACTAGGAGACAACTTCACTTTCTGAAAACAAACAAACTAATAAATAATTCAAAATTGTAAAAATGAACAGATTATAGAAACATGGAATGATTGGGGGGAAGGAGGGACTTTTTAAGGTAAGATGATAAACGCCTCTTTGCGAGGGGCCACTTAATCCAAGGGTCAAAGCTGATAAATTACTCATGTGGCTCAGGCTCATAGGAGGGTTAAAAGCCGAGAAAAGAGAGTGAGCAAAATCCTATGGTGTGTGTGAGCTGTGAGTGAATAAGGGAATTACTGAAAGTGAAACTAGAATGGGATTTTCAAGGCTGCCTTTTCTCTATGACCTCTTGATTTTGCACAGGAAAGGAAGAGCATTTTCCATCCATGTGAATGCCCTGGGGTACAATCAGTTTCCAGGACAAAAGCGGCCTACTGGTTTCATTTGGTAATAGCGAAATATGCAAAAAAATAAAGCAAAATGGGAATCAGAACGGATCCACCACGGACCACATTTTATTATGAGAATAAATTTTATACGTCTAGTGTGTGGCCCTAACACTTATATAGAAAGTGTTTTCCAGCAATCTAATCCTCCTTAAATCCAGGTCAGTTGGTGGCTAAGAGAGAATAATCATTAGATACCTCAATGAAATCCCTGCTTCAAGTTCTCCCATAAGAATTCATGGTTGATCCAAAAATGTATAGAAAATCATTTTTAAAAAACAGGCCACACTTCAACATCATTTTGATGTGATAATTTATGGTCATCCCAAAAATAGTATTATTATGAAATTCCTGTACCCCCAGGAAATGCCAGGTTCTAATGAATTTCATGCTAACCATCCAATATAGTTCCACATATAAAATTCCGACTCACTACTTGGAGGTAAGAGGGACCTTAACTTTCCATGCATTGCCTCTGATGCATGCATGGAAGAAAACAAAAACACTAAGGATAAATTCCCTTAGCAAGCTTGTTTGTCCTTGAGCTATGGAAATGTGGTTAAACATTATTTTCAGTTTCATAAATGTTTCCCATATTGGTGGTCCAATTGTACTCTACAAAAACAAATAAACAGGAAAAAAACACAAAACATGCTCTTGGAGGAGTCAGCATAACTGAAGAAATGTTACTTTTAATTATCTTAGAGGGAGTTGTATTCATTGTAACACTCCTCAGCAGGAAAGAATTGGAGTTGGTCTCACTTCAGAAGAACACTCACATATCTGAAATGTAGCCAAGTGTCTGGAGATTTGGACAAGATAGATACTAGGAAAGCACACTTTTATTGTTGGATATGGATGACTACCACCCTTTCCCAATGAAGAATGAAAATCTTGAAGCATTTACAATGGAGTATCCTGCTCAGTAGCCATCAGAGGCATCTGTATGTGCACAGTGGTAAATCATGCCGTCTTCCTGGCATTATTTTGACTTGGATGTGGCTGTCACATTCCCCTCAGAGCATTAGCTTGCATGCACAGCACACAGTACAATGCCTGAGTCTGAACTGATTTAAAAGGCACCAATATGTTTCTACTATTCAAGAAACCTTCACGTTTCTCATGGCACATATGAGAAGAAGTAAAAGTTCACTTTACTGAAAAAATAAACACTCCCCACATAAATAAACATAGGCCTTCATGGCAGTACAAATTATTTATGAAAATAGTTTTACTTGAGAAGAAACAAGGAAAGGATGAACTTATTGTCTAATTAAATTGTTGCTACTGTACATATTTTGTTTTCTTTTAATCTATACAAATCAATCAGACTCAAATATTTGTCAACGTAAGTATTTTATAATATTTGCAGGGTTTTTTTGGTCAGGTCTTTTAAGGCACGGATTGTTTAGGGAGGATATAAAAAGCACAAACCATAAAAGATGACAACAACAAAAATAATAAGTTAGACAATAAAAAATAAAGAGCTTTTCTCTCTGTTACATGCTGTTTTAAAATGAAAAGAGAAGTCACAAACTGGGATAAAATAATTTCAATATTAGCCAAATATGGTTAACACTTATTCTGTAATGTATGAAATGTCTTTAAAATTCAGTGATAGGAAAGCAAACCCAGTTTCCAAAATCTGGGCAAAAGGTTTTAAGACAAATCACAAAAGATAATATACAAGGAGAAACTAAGCACGTAAAAAGATACTCAACCTCATTCCTCATCTGAGAAATGCAAATCAAAACTTAAATAAGATAATAAAAACCTACTAAGATGGCTAAAAGTTAAAAGATTGACAGTACAAAGTATGAATAAGAATGTGAAAAAACTGGGTTTCTCCTACACTGCTGATAGGAATGTAAAAGAGAATAACCACATAAGAAAAACAGTTTGGTAGTTTCTTATAAAGCTAAATATACAGGTACCCAAAACATTTCATTCAATCTGAGCTAATTCTAACCTCTTGCAGTTGTATATAAATATCAGTTATGAGGAGATCAGTTGAAAGATGATTTTGTCTTATAATGAGATAGTAACAATAAAATCAGAATGATGAAAGCAATTGGGAATATTGTTCAGTGATAACCACGGTAGAACTGACATCTGTTTAGAAAATTACTCTTTGTGTCTTTATATATGTCTCTGTGCATATTTCTGCCAAAGACTAATAAGATTTATTTTACTTATTGGAATAAACAAAAGTACTTCTATCCCCAAATCTATAACTAACGTGCTTATGATCTTTGCTAGGTTGTTAACTCTTGGCCATGAGTTTGCTCTTGTGAAAAATAGAAATATGAACATCTTTCTTATCTTTCTTCATAAAGATAGTTGTATAGATAAAGTGACATAATAGATATGTAAGTGCTTTGATAAAATGTAAAAAAACAGATCAATTTAAACTATTATGCTATCAAACAACTATTAATTTAATCAATCTTATTGGATTTTGTATATTAAAAGGCCTAAAATGATTAAATCTGGTTTCTGCCATTTACTATCATCAATCACTACATAATATACAGCATATGACTAAATAGTTCAATCTGTAGAATAAAAAGAAAATAGATGTTACTCATATGATTATGAAAATGTTTGCTTTGACAGTGTCATCCTAAAAAATAATTTTGTGTATGGTAAAGTTGCAAAGATTATTGATAATTTGCCTTATTTAAGTGCTTCAAAACTTTTTTCTTTAAACCCTGATATTTTTAATATGTAAATAGCTTCTTTAATTGTGAGAGGTAATAAGCATTTATAATACCAGTTCCAAGTTCTGTAATATATACCATATGAAAAAAAAAACAACAGGATATGTCAAAAATAAAATTCTTCTTAGGAAGTGATTGTTAGATGACTCTTTTTTGAAACCATGTTTCAATATTTATCCACATGCTTCAGAGAAAAATTTGGCACATTCATTAAAATTAGTGGGAGAGGGTCACCTAATTTTAGATATGCTGATCTAGACATTTTATAGTTTGCCAATTGTATTAAATCATAATTAGTAAAAATAACAAAAGATCTGCTTTAATGTTTTAAGAAATGCAAAGACCCACAAATGTTGAAATAAAACTGGAGATTGAACATGGTTCTCAAATTATAACAATGAATTTTAAGTTGTGTTCTGTTCATACTCAAATGGAAACTCTTCAGCTGCTGTAGGAGATTGATTTTCATAAAGGTTCCAGCTAATGAGCTTTGAAAATCCCAGGGTACATTCACCATCTTTCTATAAACTCAACACTAATACATTAATTATTGAGGTAATGGATATGTGTAGAAATAAAACTTCTCTATATCCTGTAAGTATTTCTTTAAATGGCCATTTCTTCTCACACAACTATGCAGTCCAAAACATGGTGAAGATCAAATGATAAAAGATGATATAAAAGGTAAGGGAACAGAGACTGATTTTAAGAAATGTAAGGGATCCTGATTTAGAAAGAAAAAAGAAGTAATAATCTGAAATAACTAAATAACTTTTTCTGGATTAAAAACTACAAATTGATGTAAATATACATACCATATCAAGATCAATATAATTCAATTTGAAGGACTTACTGTGTTCAACGCAAGTATCTATGAAGTATACCATTTCTGCAATAATTCTTTGATAAAAATAAAAGGAAAATGTAAAAAGTGTACATCCTGTGAAAACCTAGAGAGGAAATATCAATTTTGTCCAAAGGAACAATGTTCTTATTGGCATCAGCTATCAAATTTAAAAATATATGTCACAAACTACAAGACTGCCATGGGGATACGAAAGACAGTTTGGTGAATATAATCAATAATGTTGTAAAGATTTTGTAGGGTATCCAATGGACATTTGCCTTATTGGAGAGACCTCTTCATGGACGGTGTAGATGCCTGACCACTGCAATGTACACCTGAAGCTAAAGCTGAATAATATTGAATGTCAAATATAATTTAATATATATGTATGTGTCACAGGATATGAAGTACAGCATAGGGAATGGAGTCAATGGAACTGTAACAGCTATATATGATGTCAGAGGGGTAGTAGGTTGGGGGAAGGGGTTATCATTTTGTGAGGGGTGTAAAGCTCTATTACATTGTTTTATACACCTGAAACAAAAAAATAAAAGAATATCAAAAGACAGAAAAAAATATATGTGACAATCATTGAAGGATTTTGAGAAGAGTTTTGTACATGACTCTGCTAGAAAAATTCTATGTATTCATTGACTAGTTCCCACTTTCTGCATACCTACTTATTTCCCAGACTCTCTTACATTTAGTTTGGGACCATATGACTAAATTCTGGCCAGCGAGTGGTGGAAGAAACTTACATAAGGCAATTCTGGCTCATAAATACATCCTATGGAGTCAATCGGACCTCTTCTGCTTTCTGCTACAAACTAGGGATCTGTTCATGTGGCTTAGATGCTGACTGGAAGTGACTTAGAATTTCTGAATCACTGCTAGGAGAAAAACAACCAGACCTGCATTTGTGTTGTATATGAATAAGAATAAGTTTGCTGTATTAGTTTCCTATTGCTGCCAAAACAAATTGCCATGAATTTAGTGGCTTAAAACAAAACGAAACAAAACACAAATTT